TCACCATGCAAAATCACCATTTTCACATCCAATTGCTTGAGATGAAGATCCTCCACTACAACTATACTTAGCAAAACTCTGATTGATGTCATTTTCACTACTGGTGAAAATATCTCAGAGTAGTTGATTCCTTCCTTTTGAGAAAAACCCTTAACCACAATCTCCAATTGTATCTTATACTACTATCTGCTTCATTTTTTTATCCTATACAACCACTTGTTTTACAAAGTTTTTTTACCGGTAGGCAACTTGGTCAACTCCCAAGTTTTGTTCTAAAGTAACGAGTCAATCTCGCTTTTATAGCACGCTTTCACTGCATGTGAAAATGGGTCTTTGTTTGCCTTATCATAAGTTTTTGACTCTCTCGAATATGTATATAAGACATGGCTCAAAATAGTATTTGCTGATGGATAAAAAATTACCTTTAGTAATTTTCTCCTCAAGACAGGTACTTTAGGGTCGTTAATTTGTTTCGAATTACTACGTTCCTCTTGAACTTCCTGCTCATTGATAATAGGTTCATCTCGAACCTCCCCTTTAGGTACACTCTGATCTACTGAAACCATTTTCATGAGTATTGTTAGGAGTGTCAAAAAAACCCGAGCCGGCCCGGCCCAGCTCGGTCCTAAAAATTTGGGTCTTTTGAGATTGGGCCTAAGTCTTTTCGAGCAGGGCTTTTAGATATAGGTATTATTAGGGTTGGGGTAGGGTCGGGCCCAACCCATTAACCCATTATTCTCTCTCCCTTTCTCTCCCTCTTCTCTCTCTCCTCTCTCTTAATGACAAAACCCTAGATCTAGACGGAACGCCACCATCTCTCTCTCCCTCTCCCTCTCCCTCTCCCTCTCCCTCTCCAACCCCACCCGAGCCCTAACTATATCGATCTCCCCTTCTTCCTCCTCTCCAACCACCCTCGCCGCACTGGTCCACGCTGCCGTGCTCGAGTATCCTTGAGATCTCCGTGTAAGCCATCGACTCGGCAATCTGTAGCACGCTCAATCCCTTGTTGGTCATTGCCTCCGCGTCGGCTCCTTTCTTCACTAGTAACTCCACAACCTTCGTGTGCCTCGATTCGATCATGCAGTGCACGGATGTATATCCATCTTTGTCCTTCGCGTTGATGTCGATTCCCTTCTCGAACAGAGCCTTGACCGCCTCGGTGTGCCCCTTGAACGAGGTATGGTGCAGCGCTATCCACCCGTACTGGTCACAGCCGTTGATCGCGGCCCCGCTCTCAAGAAGTCATTGGATCTGCCGTGCTTGTCCTATCCTCACCGCCGTGCACAATCTGTCCTCTAACTTTAGGGCGTCAAAGAGCTTCGTGTGGCCATGCTCTACCGCAAGGTCGTAGGCGGTCTTGCCGTACTTGTTGCGGACGTCTTTGTTGGCTCCTTTCTGCAATAGGAGCTTCACCATGTTCTTTTCCCCATAGCTTGCCGCAACGGTATACAACACGATGGCGGTCGTATTTTTTTCTTTTTCTTGGTTTTGCACTTGCTTGAGAAAAACTGAGCAAGATCTGGTGAGATTTTGGCAATGTGGTACCGGCATTAACCCGACCCTACCCGACCCATTTTCTGGGGTAAATGCTAAATAGGGTCTAGGGCAGGGGTGGGGCGGGTCAAGCGCAACCCTGTACGTTTCGGGTTGGGTCGGGTCGGGCTTTCTTGATACCCGACCCGACTCGACCCATTGACACCCCTAAGCATTGTGTCTAGCTCAACATATTCTAGTTATACTGCCTTCTCATGCTTTGTCTAACGATCCTTGTACATCTTTTCTTCATGGAGTACCACATTCCGATTACGAATAACTTTGTTATTCTCATGATCCCAAAGCCTATAGTGATATTCATCGCCACTATATCCGATAAATGTACACTTTTGGGACTTACCATCAAGCTTCTTCCTACCCTCACTGTCAATCAAAGCATATGCAATACAACCAAAAACATTTAGATATGAATAATTAACCTTTTTACCTGATATTGGTCTTGCAGTATTTCTCCATCTAAAGCACTAGATGGACTTCTCTTGATCAGTTAAACAGTTGTATCAATAGTGGCAACCTATAAGTGTAGTGGGAGACCTGCTTACAACCTCATGCATTTCGCACATTCCAGAATGGTCCTGTTATTCCTCTCAGCTACACCGTTCTCTTGAAAGTTCAAGGAACAGTCTTCAGCTCGTGTATGCCTTCCCAGCTTAAGTATTCTACAAATTCCTTACTCATGTATTCACCACCATTATCAGACTTTAGAGCTTTAATCTTATAACCCGTCTCATTTTCTACCATGGTCTTCCACATTTTAAACATTCTGAATATTTCTGATTTTTATTTTCTGAGAGCATAGACCCAAGTCTTCCTTGTCGCATCATTAATGAAAGTGACAAAATATCTCTTACCACCATAAGAGAGTTCCTGAATCGGTCCCCACACATCAGTATGAACCAACTGTAGCTTTTGGCCTTTATTCTGTCGCCCATTCAACTTTCTGCAAACTTGGAAGCAACTTTCTTGAATGTAACTGCTTTACACCATTTTCACCAAGATGTCCCAAACGATAATGCTTGTAACCACCGTAGTTGCAACTATATCACAGGTATTGTATCCTTGGAGAAAATAAAGTGTACCCGTACGATTTCTCTTTGTTACTACTCTTGCCCCCGAGGTTATCTTCCACTCTCTACATCCAAAAGTAGTTATCAAAACTTCTTGGTCAAGTTTACTAGTTGAGATCAAATTTTTCTTCAACTCTAGAATATGCCTGGTTTCACGCAAAACTAGACGTCCTCCACCTGAGATGTTCACAATCATAGTTCCTTTTCCAACAATCGGAAAAATGTGGTCGTTTCCCACAATCACTTGCCATAAATCTCCACTGGCATAATCAACAAATATGTTTCTTCGCGAGGTGCAATGGAAAGAAGCACCGGAGTCAATAAACCACTAGTTTGTTGTCAAATCAAATCCTGCAGACAAATACAAGTTCTCTAGCAAAGGTTCATCAACCAAGTTAGCTCATTGATTCTCATTTCGCTGCTTCTTTTTGTAGACTTCACATTGAGACCTCCGGTGGCCAGTTTGGTGACAAAACCACTCATCTTTTGCAATCTCTCTCTTCCCCTTTGATTGTGACTTGCCATGCCCATTGAATTTTCCTTTGTTTTTGCTTTTCCCACAGTTCTCCATTGCTAGTGCTGTTGAAGATGTAGATGCCGAAAAATTATCTTCACTTGAGACTTTCCTTCGCAGCTTCATCCATGATGCAGCTCACAGCATCATCTAGATTTAAATCATCCTTCATGGTGCTCGAAATTCCCTGCAATGCAGTGTTGTAGCTTTCCAAGGGGAACATAAAAATAGAAAAGCTTGGAGCTTCATACCCAGATTTATGCCTATGGATTTGAAATGGCATTGGACCTGCGTAAAACTATTAATATGCTCTACCATAGAACCTCTGTTAGATAACTTCATATTAACCAATTTTTTCAGCAAAAATATTTGATTTGATGTGGATTGCTTCTCATTTATATTCATTCGAATACCCATGGCTTCTTTTGCAATCCTTGCTTTCATGATTTGGCACTGTCTTTTTCGTTAGCACTAGACGAATCGCACTTAATGCCTTTCGATCAAGAATTTTCCATCCCGATTCTGCTGTCGAATCCACTTGCTAGGTTGGTTTAAATAATTAGTACTTCACATATATTTTACGGACCTTTCTTGAATGTAGGAGGTCCCTTAAAGGTAGGAGGTCCATTTTCTTAAATGCATCTTGTAATTCAAGAAAGGTTTCAATTTATGGAATTTCAAGATTTGCATTTTTTCGATAATCTATAATGTTATGTAAAATAGGGACGACCTCCTACCTTTAAGACTATGTTTGGTGAGTCAGATAAAATTCCGGATATGATAACTTTTATCCTATCCGATATTTGGAGTGACACGAAATCTAAATATGATCGGATATAGCTTAGCTATAGTCCGTATAAAAAAAAATCCCACCTAGGGCGTGGGATAAACTCGGATAGGATATGTATATATGGATTTAAAAAAAAATAGAAAACTAAATTTCAAAATATTAGCAAAATCTTATGCTATCCCTGCAACTTTTTCCCTCTCTTCCCATCATCTCTCTCCTCTTCGTCTTTGACTTGTTTCTTCTCTGTTCACATCCACGACTCACCCACCACCACACAAAGACAAGAAAGCTCTAAAAAAATCCCCGAAATCCACTCTGCTTCGCTCCAACTAGTGATTAAGGTTTTGATTTTGGTCTGGATTTTTCACGCGTACGAGTACAAGTCTCGATTGCATATATACACAATCCTCGCGCTCTATTGCATTGGCAACAATGGTTGCGCCGAAACAGAGTATCACAAGGTCAAGTTTGTTCAAGACTAACTTGACGATTCTGAGGGGTCGCCACTGTGTGTATGATTGTTACCGGGGATAAAAACATGGGACTACAACAATGTCATGGTTTGGGAGAGAGGAGCTTCCTTCTGTCGTTAGCGAAATAACAGAGAGATATTTTAAGGATTTTTGAAAATTTTCAATTTAGGTTACACCAAACATATGATAGGATTTTTTACAATCCGGAGGATATTGAGAGGATTTTTAATCCTACTTTATCATGTCCTATCCCAATCCAAATCCGGACCACCAAACGCAGTCTAAGATATCACAATCCTTTTTCATTCCTTCAAATTTCCTCAATAAGTTATACTACAAATATTAAATCCATGGATAAATGAATAAATTAATATTTTATTTCTAACGTATTTCAATTTTACAATTTGAATCTATTCTAGTTGACAAACACCTTATCGAAAAAAGTGCAAATCTTGAAATATTTCCTCTTTCCAGATATATGTGTTTAATTTCTTCGTACCGCTTTTTTAATTTCCTTTAAATAATTAGTACTTCACATAAATCGACCTAGCAAGAATGTGAGTTATGAAAGAAAGGAACCTTCCTTCTCTCTTCCTCTTTTGTCGTGTTCTATCTCTTTCAAAACGCGCTTTAGTGGATTCCTTTTCTGACAGCGCGCCCGAAATTTTGCGAACGGACCGAGAAATGGATCCATCGGACTCCTGTCCCGGAGATGACTTTGGAGAACGAGCGAACACCGAACTAACAGAACCTGATCCTTCTTTGTCTGACTTCGAGACGGCCCTGGCAGCGTGGCTTGCGTCGGATGCCCAGAGCGCTCCCATTCCCGGCCATGGCGGCTGTGACGACGTCTTCTTCGGCAACACGATCAATGTTGAGGCCCAGCAGGAGCAAGATCTGCGGCAGCTATGGTCCCGTTTCTTGTACTCCTACTCCGACCAGCACAGAGGGGTTGAGCAAGCGGTGACCGCGGCTAATGAGCATTGCATTGACGGCCAAGCAGAGTCCGGGGTCTCTGGCATCCACTGTCGCAACACCAGATCCGGCGGCGCCGAGGGGGTGAACTCGAGCCAGCAGGTCAGCTCTGGCTCTTTCAACCATCGGAAAGATGAGCTTGATCGCTTCAGGAAACAGGTAATCACCAGTCGCCAATTTCAGAGATATGTATTTACTCTTCTCCCGTAACAGATCTGGCCCTTCGAAGCCTGAAAACTCAGCACTGACCTGCGAAGCTCAGGCAAACCCTGAAAAAGAGGTGGTGGCCCGTCGCCGAGGGCGCGACCTTAGGCGATGACCTCGGCGACCCAGATCTGATCCTTCGACGGTAGGCGCAACCCAGGTGATCGCCGCTGAGGTTGCACGGCCCCAGGCGAGGTTTGACCTTGGCGACCCTCAACTAGGCAAGCCTCGACCTCGACCTCGGCGACCTGTACCTCAGCGCCTCAGCCACCAGCGAATAGATGTAGAGTATATGAGTAAGAATGATGAACAGTTTTTTCATGAAGGCAAGATTAGAATACGAAATATCAGTGAGGCAAGATTGTAAAAAAAAAATAATAGTCATTAAAGCCCAAAATAGCATTCCAAAAATGTTATTTTTCGTGAAAATTCCAAAAATGTTGAAATGACAAACCTTAATGTAATGGATTCATTTGTTTCAGCCGGTTTTCAATTATGGATTTGCGCTCATCACTTTCTAGGCGTTCAGAGTGATTTTTGTTTTTAATATTCTAGCCAGTTTTCAGTTCGCATCAATTTGCAGCTGAGCAAATCTTAATCTATGTTCGTCTTTATTAACACCTTTTTTTTCGAGCCAATTTTTAAATTTTAGGCTCTTGGTTGTTTAAAATTACTTTCCTTGTTCTTTTTTATTTTCCGTAGTCTTTTGCTTTTATTCTGTGAAGTTTAACAGGTTAGTTCCTTTGAAGTCAATTAATGTGTGCTTTTTCTTTTGATGTTTAATCTCGGGTTCTTAACCGTTTTAGGTCCATTTTATTCCCAACATTTCTAGCACATGCATACAAATTTTGTTCTCTTGTAAGACATCTTTATATTTCTCGGGACAAGAAGATACAATCATAGACTAGCCATTCAGTCATTTTCTTATGTTGAAACTCTATTTTTCTTGTCCTAGAATCAACAGGAACATAGCTCGATCAATCACAAATCGAGTCAGGGAGCATCTTGCTCGATGTTGCCGGAAGCAACCGGCGACGAAGATGAAATCCAATCTACTTCTGATGCTAAAATCGATGCAGAGGGGCTCGAGCCCGACCTTGGGCCGCCGAGCGTGGGGATGACCTTCTGTTCAGAAAAGGCAGCATATGATTTTTACTCCAATTTTGCTAAAAAAGCCGGTTTCCGTGTGAGAAGGGGAAAAGCAGATTACTTGGGATCAGACAAGTCTGTCATCAAGTCGAAGTGCTTCTTATGTTCTTGCCAAGGGTACAAGTCCAAAGAGCAGATCGAAAAGCCAACGCGGTATAAAAGACAAGACACTAGAACAGGTTGTGAGGCTATGATCAAGTGCACGGTAAATGATGGAACGTGGACGATCTCAAGGGTCGTTCTTACGCATAATCATGATCTCAAGGGATGTCTCACTGGCGTCCAAGGGAGAGTGGAAGGTTCGCATGCGACCACGTCTCTTTCGACAGGCAAGATTGCGGATGAAGTTACGACAGCCGGAGAGCGGGCTTTTGTTTCCAATGTGAATCACAGTGATGTCTCGCAAGGCACATGGCAAAGTCACCCAATGCCTGAGTTTGATGATACTCAGGACTTAATTGGTTACTTCAAGACCATGCAGATCGCAGACCCTCTCTTTTTTCACACGGAGCAAGTAGAAGCGGCACAGGGCATGGCAAATTTTTTCTGGAGGGATAGCCGGTCCAAGGTCGATTACGTGCATTTCGGGGATGTTCTGGTCCTAGACACAAGAACAAGGATTAACAAGTTTGACATGATATGTGCAGCATTTTGGGGACTTAATCATCACCGGCAGCGCATCATATTTGGATGCGCTGTGTTGGTCAATCAAACCGTGGGTTCGTTCAATTGGTTGCTCCGGAGTTTCCTTAAAGCAATGAGTTGGCAGCAACCACGGACAATCATTACTGATGTGAGCGAAGAAATCGCCAATGCTTTAATGGTTGTCTTGCCAGACACCCGCCATTGTCTGCCCGCTTGGTCTATCTTGAACAGTTTCAATAAGTACCTGTCTCCTTTGCCTGATCAACCTGGTCTTGATGACCTCTTTGGCGAGTGCGTCCTTCATGTCCATTCGCAGGAAGAGTTCGAGTCAAAGTGGAATTCCTTTATAACAAAGTCCAAGCTGCATGAAGACACGTGGCTTGCTTCTTTGTATCGAACGCGCGAGAAATGGTCTCACGCGTTCACAAAAAACGTGTTCTCTGCCGGCCTACTCTCGATTAAACACAATGAAAATGCACGTGCTTTCGGGAATCTCTCCTGCGAGACAATGACATTGTCCCAAATTGCATTCCGGTGTGGAGAGGCGGCCAAGAACATGCGCGGGGAAGAATTGAAGGAAGACAGGCGCTGCGAGAAAGACATGGAGAATTTGAAATCCAGGATTCCGATGATGAAACAAGCGAAACGCTTGTATACTCGACCGATCTTCGAGATGTTCAAAGAGGAGTTGATCAATAGCCTATCTCTAGTAATCGAAGAAAGCGGGCCCACAGCAACTCTTTGTAAGTTTAAGTTGACTGAAGAAGGCAGCACGGAAACAGACACTGTGGAGTTTGATCCTTCCAATTTGACGCTAGCATGTAGTTGTGGGAAGTTTGAGTCAGTCGGTATTTTATGTTTTCATGCATTGAAAGTACTCAACTTCAAGAAAATATTCAAGATACCGTCTCGCTACTTAATGAAACGTTGGACAAAATCTGCCAGGGACAGCCTGCCGGTGGATGCCCCCAACGCAGGGATTGCACGTGACGGAAATCCATTTTACGGTGAGTTTTTGCAAAAGGCTTCGCATGTTGCACATACATGTACAACTCAGAAGAGGAAAAGAATAGCTTTGACGGCCATATATTTGACAATGGAGTACATTGCAAAGGCTCCGAGAACGGAAGAAATTGCAGTCGCCGTTGAAGATTCAGATGGTAACGAGGATATGGGTCAGACTAATTTGAGATCATGCTCTTGAAAACACAACTCGACCAAGAGAATGTAGACAGGTTAGTCTCCTCCTTACCAAATTGTTTCTTAAGCTCACTGTACCGTGTGCGCACTTCAGCATTAGAATGCAATATCTCAGCAGCATTAGTCTTTTCTTACAGTAACTTTAATTACCGAGTAAGAACCACAAATAGAAGTACTCCTCATGAACTGGTCCAAAACATCTTTTGCCTTAACAGGATAAACTGGACAATCGAACAGAGGATTGACCCAATCACGTCCAAAAGATGCCTATGTACGAGCTCAGATGACTCCTAACATCCACATTTGACCGGCGTTCGGAACATGCAGATTGACATGAAAGAGGTAATCGGCGTATCGATGTTTAGGGCAGCAGACGGTGCATGAATTCAATAGCCAATCATCCAGTTTCAGAGTTCTGTTTTTGGGCTGCTCTCAACAAATCATTCAACTTCTGTTGCGACCTTCCTGATCTTACTTCATTAAGGTGTCTCATTTAAATTATGCTATTTATCTTTGCTTTAGGAGTCTCTGCTAATGTATTATGAGCCGATTAGAGGCCAAGCAAGACACGAGACTTCCACGAAGAAGAGATTCGTGAGTTCGGAGACTGGATTATGCTAGATATATCTAATGCCCATTTGGTACCTTTTTCTCTTTTATGAAAAAGATTCATTCAATTGTTTTTTTTATATTTATTTGTTTTAAATATGCAAAATCTATATGGCCATGCATAAGTGCACAAATAATAAAAATTAAATCAATAAATAATAGAGCAAATAAAGTACTAGAAATTAATAACGACAACATTATACAACGATTCGTTATTAAGTCCGGGAAAGGATCCCGTGAGCTATGTATAAAAAATAAACTTGCACTAAACTAAACCAATAAATATTAATTGCTCAATGATGAAAATAAATTCTAAACTATGTGAGATAGAATGAGTCATAAGTTAACTAGTCCTAAGATGCCATAATCACACAAATGCAATTTCTATGTTTTTATTTATTTATTTCTAAAAAAATTATTGATATGTAATTGCATGTTTATAACTACATGGTCGAGCGAAACTAATAAAAAGATCCCTTTTTTTTTTTTAAAGAGAACCTCAGTAAGAGGCTAAGAGCCAACACTTTATTTCAATTTTCTAGGTATCTGCAAAGACAGGGAGTCCAAAAACATAAGTAAATAACGACACTCATATTAAAGGTTGGTGCAAAACTGAATATCAACGTAATGGAGACATGCTATACGATGTAACATTATAAGCGGAGTATACTCCATCCAACACCATAGTGCAAAGAGAACGGTCAAGTGACGCAAATATTCTCTAGGCAAACTTACCGGAAAGGGAAGCAAGACATAGTGAAATTCAGGCCAAAACACATCCTTGTTGCCCGCCCCACAAGGGGACAGGCAAAGGAGGCCCTTTCAGGGAGAGATCCCATTCCTATGGTGAGGTTACCCTATTGTAACCAATGCGAGAAACGAACCGTAAGGCTATGCAAAGGAGCATGGAAATTCTTAACTTGAGCTAATTCATAAGAATATTCCACAATTCATACATGTACGACTTTAGGACTACATTGAACGGATCAAGAGATGGAAAAGTGCGATTATTTTTACATCAAAGCTAAAACGTAAGCACAAAGAAAAGGGATCGATGAACCTCACCTCGATGGACGTAAAGAAAACGTGAATTGGACGTGCGGTCGTGAGTCGCCTTCGTGGATTTCCTTTGTGCTGGATGGTTGCTCACGGTTTATATCAATTCAAGCTGACGCCTCCTCTCACACCCCAACTCCTACAAGTATAGGGGAAATGATATGGTCGTCCTCCTACCTTAAGGGCGTAGCCTCAAACACAAACCAACACCAACTTGTAATCAAAACTTTTATCCATCTATATATATGATAAAATAGGGAGTTGGTTACGGAACCATGTTATAAAATCTGCCAAAACAAATATATACTTCGCCAAACTAAGAACTAAACTGAAACAAATATTATTTCAGATATTTCCAACTATCTAAACTTATACCCATAATATGACAATCAAAAGTTTTCCGTCGATATCGCTCTCGTCTATTTGTCGCTAGCTCAAAAACCTGAAAAAGATTTAAAATGAATGGTACAAGCAACCACAATCTAGTAAGTAGTTTATATCCCTCCTAAGTAGATCGAACATCTACTATACGTATTTATAAAATAATAATTCGAAACTCAATAATCCAAACCCATAATATAATATACATACAATCAGTCACATCTTTTTCAACAAAACTTTGTACCTATAAACATACTCATTAAATTGGCAATATCAAAGCAAACATGACAGATCTATGCCATTTAATAGACCACCATTAATTTGTAGGTTGCCTTTAATTTGATTTGAAAACTAATGTAACAAATAGCAAGTGTGCATTTAAATAAGTAGGTCATAATTGATATCCAACAAGAGTTTCACACACCAAAGTTATTAATGTGCTCACAAATTTACGTTAGAGTCGGGCATCCCCTGTCTGAGGCCTAAATGACTCGGCTACATGACTCTCGGGCCCGAATTCAAATCGTTAATTGTTTGGATCGACTGGTACAGATGGTCGTAGATGCATGAGTCAAGTCGATGAAATTATTCCTCGTGTTAAACGACACAGAATAAGCAACCGATGTGCGACTGAACGCGGACGGGTTCAAAGTTAAATGTGTCCTCGCCGGGTTTAGACCGGGAGGTCGGTTTCTTGGTCAACAGACAACGCGCTAGACAAAAGCAAAATCCCATGCACTGTCCCAGTCTCGGATGATGTACTGAGCTTGCATTTGAAAAGTATAGAACATATCGGTGCCCCAACTGTCATCAAGAGAAAGATATATACTACATAGGAATACGTGGTCCATGAGCTAGGCAGAAGCAGAGTAACCAAAGACACCAACGACAACGATCCGAGCAACAGAGTCGCAGACTTGAGGGCTTGGCCATAGACACTGGGGAGAGAAGAATCAGGAAGGCACACATTCTTCAGAAGATAGGCGAGGCAGCTCCCGAGCAAGCAGGCAATGCTGAAGCCCATGGTCCAGGGTGCGTCCTATAGGGAGAAGCGCCGGCCCCGCCATACTTCAACTGGAGTAAGCTCAGGAAAATGGGCGTAACTGGAGTAACCTCAGGAAAATGGGCGCGAAACAGAGGATCACAGAGTTGATTTTGTAGGAAATTGTACGTTCGCACTGGGTCGACCATGAGTAGTGGTAACAATTGCTTGAGTGTCTTCGATACGAGTGATATCTTTGGTGATACTACCCTAGGACTGCATGCATCCAGCCCCAGGCAAGGCCCCGGCGAAGGCCTGTAAGCCCTGATCTGGGGGAAGGCGTGACCCTCGCCCCAGATCTGACCGAGAGTCGTCGGCCCTCCCCCAGATCGGGGCTTGCAAGCCCTCGCCGGGCTTCAGGAAGGCCCAAGCGACCTCCGCCAACCCTTCCTGACGGCTGTGGCAGCGGCCACCGGCGAGGGCTTGGCCACAGCCACCATGGGCCTTCTCCTTCTTTTTCTTTGTTTTTTTTATATTATTATTTAGCTTATTTTTTAATAATAAAAATTATCATTGAAAATTAAAATAAGCCACGTAGGAGAGAGAAAATATTAAAATAAGCCACGTAAGCGTTTTTCGTTAGTAAGTTAGACGGTATTAAGTTTAAGAATCAATTGAACCAACTTGATAAGTTTTAGAACTTGATTGCATGTTTTGCAAGTTTTAGGATTCAATTGCACTTTCGTGACAAGTTTTAAGACTTCTAGTAAATATATTCCGAATATTTAAATTGGGTGACTTTAGGATATATATGTGAGAGAAGTATGTCTTGTGGAAAATAAGTACCACAACATTTTTATAGTGGGTCAATTATTGATGGAGCATTAAGTTTGGGACTAATTCTTAGAAAAATACTTGGATGATCTATATTCGAGCAAAGCATAAGATGAGGCTGAGTAGTGTAAAAATTGAGGTGGTTGCACTAGGAAGATGCAACAACTACGAATATCAATGATTTATATTTTTATAGTGGGTCGATTACTCTACGACCTTTTGGTTTATTTTATATATAAAAAAAGTGTAAATGGCATAAATGATCCATGAACTTTGGCCAAATGTGCACTGTGATCCATGAATTTTAATTTTGTTCGATATGGTCCTTGAATTTCAACTCAATATGCAATGTCGTTCCTAAACTTTTAATTTGTTCAATAATCAATTTAGCCCCTAATGAAAATGTTCAACATTGTCCCTAAACTTGAATTAATGGAATGACAACATTAAATATTTTTATGCAGTCCAGGAACTAAATTGAACATGTAGCAAAAGTTCAAGGATTACAAAGAACAAATTAAAAGTTCTAGAATGACATTGTACATTGGGCTAAAATTTAAGAACCACAAATTTAAAGTTCAAGCACCACATTGTACATTGGGTCAAAATTCATTGACAATTTGTGTTATTATCCCAAAAAGAAAAGACAAAAATTTCTGAACTTTTTCAAATTATTGTATAATTAGATTCTTAAAGTACATATGCATAATTAAAATTGGTCCTTCTATTGTTGAAAATGGACTAACACATAGGCATCACGTTAGTGTTGACTCTTTCATGACTTGATAAAATATTGGAAAATGCTATTGAGAGGGCAGAAATCTACAATAATATCACAATTACCTCGACCAAATTTGGCCTATATTGTGGCTAAGTGCATCAGATTTTTTCCAAGCCCTTAACAAAATAAATATTATATAAATTTATATAAAGGATCAAGCCTATATTAGCTAATGTTACCAGATTTTCTCCATGCCCTTAATATATTTTTATGTAGTATTTATCTTTTTGAGAGCCGGATGAGCTTCTTTTTTTGCTTCACAGGCTGAAGCTCTCTCTATATTTTTTTTGGACTTATGTCACTAGGCTCCGAGATTTATTCAAATCTTTTCATATAGGTACATAGGCATATAGCTCATTTCATGTCATTTTAATATAGTGAAAGATAATTTTCCTTGAATAAACGGGCAAGCTTGCATGTGACAGTTGTATCTTAAATACTAGGTCTAGGATCATAATGAGAATTCTTTAGTAGATAGTTTTCTTTAATTAGAATTAGTCTTGTGCTTTTCTTTTTTCCTTTCGCTCGTAAAACACGCTGGTACTGATATATTGTAGACTCGCAGTATTCTACTTTGAAGGTGCGCCCAAGATTTTCAGAATGGCCAAGAAATGATCCCTTGGACTTTTTCACAAAGGCGACGTGGTGGAAATAGAGCTTGATCCTTCTAGGGCTACATTCTCGACAGCGGCAGTGTCCCAAGAAATGGATCGGTTGGATTTCTATTACGAAGGCAACGTTGTGGAACAAGCCAACACGGAGTCTTCTTCAGCTACGATCCAAAGTGCCCTCGGATTCGGCCTCGGCGACGGCGACTTCTTACTCGACACGGCTGATGTTATGGAGGCCATGGACCTCACATTCAAAATATGGAGCGACGAAGACATCTACTTATCTAAGGATAACAACTTGGAAGAGGTGACCACGAATCTTGAACATGGTCCAACAACCTATCGGTCTCCGGCATCCACCATCCCAACCACATAGCCAGCAA